ACAAAGAGAGACAGACAGAGAGAGAGAGAGACACAAAGAGAGACAGACACAGAGAGAGAGAGAGACACAAAGAGAGACAGACACAGAGAGAGAGAGAGACAGATAGCGAGAGACACAGAGAGAGAGAGACAGAGAGAGAGACAGATAGAGAGAGACACAGAGAGAGACACAGAGAGAGAGACAGATAGAGAGAGACAGATAGAGAGAGACACAGAGAGAGACAGATAGAGAGAGACAGATAGAGAGAGACACAGAGAGAGAGACAGATAGAGAGAGACAGATAGAGAGAGACAGAACCTTTGTGTGTGTCTGATTGAGTTTTCCGACTGTGTGTTTACCATGACATGTAATTGTGTTTAGTGCGTGTCTTTCTCACCTTAAAGTGTGTGTTTGCAGGTGTGTGTGTGTGTGTGTGTGTGTGTCTCTGTGTCTCTCTGTGTGTGTGTGTGTGTGTGTGTCTCTCTGTGTGTGTGTGTGTGTGTGTGTGTGTGTGTGTGTGCCCTGGGGGTTTTCCCTCCAGTGTCAGTGGGCAGCATATGGGACTTGGCGCTAATGACCACACCTCCGTGCCAGAACCTGATTTACACACACACACACACACACACACACACACACMCACCCACCCCATGGGACAGGATTATGTGTGTGTCTGCACGTGCCTGCATTAGTGTGTGTGTGTGTGTGTGTGTGTGTGTGTGTGTGTATATGTGTGTGAAGCTCAAATCTGATTAAAGTCGTGTTGGCGACAATTAACAGCCCTTCAAACCCGCCGCCTCCGGTCCTCTGGGACTGTGTGTGTGTGTGTGTGTGTGTGTGTGTGGTTCAGGTGGCAGTTCTCTGTCTTAATCCCCCCCCTCTTCTTCCTCCTCCTCTTCCTCTGAATAAATCATGTGACCCTCACCCTCCTTTCATCCCTCCATCATCCATCTCTTGTTAAACCTCCAAAGTCCCCCCCTCCTCCCCCCTCTGTTTTCTCTCCCCCTCCTCCCCCCCCTGTGTGTGAGGATGGAGGGATGAAGATGGAGGTAAAGGGAGAGAGATAATGAGAAGCGTGGCGACCTCTCTCCTGGATTTGTTGTCATGCTTGTAAAGCCCCGCCCCCTCCTCCTGACCTCCGACCCCTCTGTGTTGACTAACACCTCCTCTCCTCTCCTTCCTCCTTCCACCAGCATCATTCTTTCTTTTATTTACTTTCTTTATTCACACAAAATAATTTTACTTCTTTCCTCCTTCTCATTCTTTCATTCCTGTATCCTTTCCTTTTCTTTTTCATTCCCTCAGGCTTGTCTCCTTCTTCCTCATCCCACATCCACCCCTCCTTCCTCCTTCTTCATTCTTTCACCCAGTTCTCCCAGTGAGAACACACACACACACACACACACAC